GCCCTAATTCGTGGTTGGTGGAACAAGAAGCAGGTGACTAAGACTAAACGAGCTCCCCCACTCTAGAGCACGAAAATGAAGCCAAACAAAAGAACAAACACGCGCATGTGAGAGCACAAGCGACACCACACACGTGAGAGCGCACGTGAGGCATGTCTGACCTTATGAGAGGAGTGCTGTACACTGCTGCAGTTCTTTCAAGTCCCCCCCTCATGGCGAAAGGCTGTTGGCTTGCAGCTTCGTATTCTAGGCGACGAGACAAACCATTTGTGACCTGACAATACATTCGTTGTATCGAGCGAACAGTAGGCAGAAGCGCTAACGCAGCCAAACGTACCCTGATTGAATTTTCCTACAGGCTGTGCGCTATACAGGCTATGCGGCATGCGTGCGAGGACCCTTTCATTCGAGCAGGTTCAATATACAAAGCTTAAGTTCTGCAAGTTCTCAGCGCTGAGGCATCTTAGATGCTTTAGTCCTTACCTGGTTTAACCGAAGGCAAAGGCTGGGTGGCATACTGCAAGAATTTCAATGCAGCAGGCCATTTCTGAGTTGAGAGACCCTTCATGAGCACATCAATGCGACTGAGCTGTTGACTGATACCAATGTCTTCTGAGCTATTGAGCACTTCACAGGTTGATGCGACGTTAACCCTGTGTCCTGGCGAGATGTCGAGGCTTGGGGGAGTATATCCTTCGCAATATTTGCTGTCGCAGAGGTGCTGTCTTCGAAGATTGCCAGAAATGAGGCGTTGTGTTTTTGCATGGTTACTTCAGCCTCAAGCAATACAGGGGGCCTTTTGGAGATCTATTCATTTGTCTCCCAGGTCTGTCACTGCTGGTGTCCGCCTTTTCCGCTGGCCATGTAGCATTTCTATTCATTTGTCTCCCAGGTCTGTCACTGCTGGTGTCCGCCCTTTTCCACCGCCAGTGACAGACCTGGGAGACAAATGAATAGACATGCTATATGGCCAGCGGAAAAGGGCGGACACCAGCGCTGACAGACCTGTGGGAGACAATGCATAGAAATGCTGTTGAGGCTGGGTTGTTGATTGCTCTTTTTCCGTCCTACGTGGAAGTGCAATCGCAGCCTCGCTGCCCCCTTTGGAAATATATCCACCATGGAACGGCCACCGCATCTGAAACCAATAGCCTTTCACTAGGTGGGATGACGATGGCGCGCGTGGATACGTTGCTTGGGGCGCGTGCGGACGATGGGGTTGCGCCCATCTCAGGCAACTCATGTCCTATGGGTTCGCTTGAACGGACAGAGGAGTGTGGCTGGATGACTTGCTTTGGGAGAGGCGACGCGTTCACAATTGATTTGTAGCTATGTGTATATTTCAGTCATCCGAGCTTTTCTTTTTGCTGCAATGGTGTCTTTGAGCAGTTGCTACAAGCCCTGGCTTATCAGTGCACCTGCAGGCTTTTTGAATCGGACCGCAGATGGACGCTATATTTTAACATATTTTGAAAGCTTCACAGTAGAGCGCCAGAGTTCCATTGAAACGCACTCCTAGAGTCAACCAGTCTTACAGCAATTGATCGCAGATCAATGAAAAAGGAACCGAAGAAATTCCATGGATTTGCCAGCTGCAATTGTGTTGTAGCTGTAGCTAGGCACATACTTCGGCATTCTGCTTGCAGGCCGCGCTATGCACGGGTTGCCACCACCAGCTGACCCTGATGACCGCAATTCCTCGTCATCATGCTCTCCTGCAACACCAGCAGCAGCACGGCCTCCCTTGGCGAAACATAAGTGCAAAGCTCTTGACTGGCCTGTTCGCCAATTGGCAAGAGAGTTGGACACATTGCTTAGCGAGTGCTTTCCTACCATACCATCCAACCAACACAAGAGGATGGTTTCTTCCCAAGCCCCTACCGAACTCAGTTGAGGGATCTCCAGGTTGTCCAGCGTGCGCCCAAACTCATTGTGCATTGAGGTCACTCCTGACAGTGTTAAGTCACAAGCATACAAGTGATATGACCAAAGACTGGCCAAAGTGTAAAACGGAAGGCAAACTCTAACTCTACTCCATTCAACTTCCCATGAAGAATGTTTGACAGATGAGCTTGCCAGTGAGCAGATGATTGGGGATGTCCGCACAAACTCTTATAGAGCCATGCGCAAGGTCAACTCTGCAAATAACATTACGAATGTCCTGTGTTTGGTTCTTAGGGAGGAGACTGGATGCAAGCCCTGATGCGCTCTGAAGTCGAACAGGTGTGACCTTCAATAATTGAGAACCAAACCGCAGTACTGGGCGCGCGTGATCTCCCAATATGGGAACACACCATAAGGTCAACAAAGCCACCAGATCGGCTGGACAAATCATGGAGCTCTGAGGCTGTCCTTATATTCCAGTCTCACTTTGATAGGTCTTGCGATGCCTCGATTCCCCAAGCTTGATGGAAATTGAAAGTGACGCGGTGTTGGAAGTCGGGTAACACTCTCAACGCGACTCAAACGACTGCCAACGAACTTGTAGATAGCCACACTTGGGTGAAGCGGGGCCTGCGCTCCGTCCAATGCTTCAACTTCACTCTCTTCAACCTCACTGGTGCTGGAGATGGTTGTTGGCCCTTTTGACGCCAACCGCAAATCCCTTGCCTTAGGCAGAGGACCTTTCGGGACTGGCGGAGGATTAGCAATGGGAACGAATTTGGCAGCCGGCGCTGGGGTCACTGATGATCTTGGCTTGGAAGGGAAAACGGGTGAACTTGATTGCTGTAGCAGCGGCTCTCGGTTCAATCACAAATCCTCCGGTTCAGCAACAACTTCCTCAATCACAGCTTCCTCCTCAACAGGATCCCCAAGTCACAAGCAGCAGCAGCGGCAGCAGCAGCAGCGAGCTCCTGGGCGCAAGCCTCATCAGCTCGGTTTTGACGAGGCTCAGGGGCCGTGCCTTAGGCAGAACGACCTCCTCTTCCCACTCACCTTAGCTTTCGGATTCACTGCGTTCCACCTCCCAGCAACGTGTAGTGTTCAACGGCCGACTCGACTCAATCCACCTGTATGAAAAACTGCAGCCTCGGACTCAGGAATCCGAATCCCTTGATCTTCGGCAACGTTCCTGATGTACGCCTCAGGACGACGCGTGGCGCTACCGGTAGCTCCACCCCTGATACCGCGATGCCCGGGTTCTTCCTCATCCATTGAAGCCCTTCAAAGGGCAGGGAGGCTACAAGTGATGAAAGTTGCAAAAGGGCAAGCCACCAACAATCAGAGCCCTACGGCTGATAACCACTTGAAGTGGTTCCAGGCAACCCCAAAAGCAACAAGACATAAAGCACAACTCTCACAGTGAGCCAAAAGTAAAGCAAAACACATGGAGCATATCTGACCTTATGAGAGTGGTGCTGTACATTATTGTACGCTGCAGTTCTTTGAAGTAAACAGCACATAGAGTATGTGTGAGCGCAGGTCTGAGAGAGCGCAGACATGAGAGCACATGTACTGGAGCGCGAGTGTGAAAGCACGCCGGTGTGCGTGCACAAGAGGGACCCACACACATGGGCACATGTGTAAGGAGACTCGGGTGAGAGTGTACATATAAGAGTGTGTGTGTGCGTTTGAGCCCGCATGTGACCACACATGCAATTGAAATCGAACAGGTGAGAGCACAGGTGTGAGAGAGAGAGAGAGCGCGCAAATGGCCACATAAAAGAGCAGGCGTGTGACACGTGAGGGCACGCTGGTGAAAGCAAACGCAGCAGCACACACACAGAGCACATACGTACCCGCTTCACAAAAGACGAGCTTTTGTGATGCTTCTCCCAAACTCCGAAAGCGAGCCACCTGTCCAAAGCAAAGGTGGTTTCTGCAACCTGGGTAGCTGCATGTTACACTGGATGTTCTTGGATGAAGGGTGTGCGTTGAAAGTACCTGCATTCTTACAGCTGCTTTCAGTCCACCCCTTGAGCTTGGTCTGGCTGGGTGATGTAAGAAATCCAAAACCTACAAAATATATAACTATCTTTGGTGCCTCGCACAAACACCACCGGTAGCCCCCCGTCAATCGAAGGCTCAAATAAGATGCCTTTAAGTATCAATGTTTCTGCCCAAGGCGCGTACGTCTATCGGTCTAGCGTGGCAACAAAAGGCCATGGTTGCGAGCAAAATGCGCCACAACGCCAGACATCGCCCTCAACTGGCCTTGGCCTTGCAAGTTGAACGCGAAAACTGTGTGGAACTTTTTGAGGCCCAGCCTCTCCTTATGGCATCTGTGTTCCGTTCAATAGCCCTCGGAGGAAGAAGAAGAAGGACACCTGCAACTGAAACAACTTCACTGCCACACACGGGGTGTCTCAATGTGCTCATGTCACGCGCACGCGCGCGCACCATCACACCATAATCCTGCGCGCAAAGGGAGGAACCCACCTTTCACCGCAAGCGCGTGCTGAGTTTTGCATTCTCGCGTGAAACCATCTGATACTGATAGCATCTAACAAATGCAAATAACATCTAACCATATCTACTCTAGCAACTGGCCAAGTGAATCGCTCACAAAACATCGCAAAACCATTCTTTTGTGTTCGCGCACTTGCGGGCGCTGCCCCAAACAGTCTCCTGTTCTGTCTTGTCCCAGTTGGAAGCTGTAGGGTGGTGTAGGAAGTGACAACGGTGGTCGCATTGCGAGATTCTCCGTCCTCAAAACCAGGAGTGTAAGTGAAAGCAATCTCATCGCGAGAGGTATGCGCCATGCGCACCTAATTCAAGATTCATTTGTCCAGCTCGCTTGTGTCTCCAAGACATGTCCCGGATCTTTTGCTTGCCTCACTAAGCTAGCTAGTTATGTGGTTATGCCTCCATGAACCCAAATATTGCTCGATATTTTAACCTCGGGCGGTTTAAACGAGTTATGCATAGTTGCGCTGTGTTCGAATGGCTCGTTGGGTCCACGAAAGGTGTGCTAGTTCGGATTGGTTCCTTCCTGCTCTGGCCACCCGAACGTAAAACTTAGAGTCAGAGCAGGAAGTCATTCCAGCGCCCCTTTCCATTTGTAAATGGTCACCAGTAGACAAAATGTTTTGAGCAACAAAGAGGCAATCCAAAGTAGCAGACTGCAAAATTTAGCGCAGGAAGGAACCACACCACCTGCCCGAGCAAGCGCCGTTGCGACGCAGCAAGGAACATAATATGTGTGTACCTAGCAGCACGCTTTTTCACCGGCAGCAACATTTTTGCAGTCTTGATGCGCTTTCAGCCTGGCAGTTCCCATACTCGCCCCATCTCCTGCCCCCAACTCGCGTTCACCCTCCCCAGCCCCGCTTGCACTCGACAAACTGATTTGGATTTGGCTCGGGCGCTGGAATTCAGCAAGCCCAAAACATGTAGGCGCAGCTTTTGAATGCTTGATTTGCTACCTGGTTGCCAAGCTGGGTTAAACTCAGTGACGGGCGCCCGTGCTGTCGGCATGTATACATTCCTATTCTTGACACGTGCGGGTGTTAACCAACAACTTGTAGTGAACATCAATGAAGGATGTCGTGCGCAATTTTCCTCAAATAGGTGCTTGAGCCAAAAGGTGATTTGGCGGTCGCGGTGGCTGTATATGTTATACACAATTGCCTAGATATACTGTACTGCTCCTAGTGCACTTCCATTGGCACCCCCATGCAAGGTTGCTGTTGATTCATTCAGGGTAGTGCTTGGTGCAGATTATGAAAGTTTGCCGCAAGATCCTGAATCTCTACTACAAAGTCTGGTAGAGCTAAGCGGACTTTATATATCTTTTCGCACTACGCAAAGAAGAGTTGGACGCAAAAGGTAGTTGAATAAGACGCGCTCAGAAACACCTGCGCTAGATCCTCGTCAGGAGGCACTGTAGTTCCAAACTTGAGCATCATGGATGGCTCGGTGAACACGCCCTTTGTGGCATCAACTGTCGGTAGTAGCATAATGAAGTTTAGCAAGGTGAGGAGGGTAAGATGTCCGACAATCTGCCGTCTCCTTTCATACCATCGCGACCCATATCCTTGCCACTTTTGTTTGTCTTCTTCCGCTCGGTTGGAGCGTGGTTGTGGCTTTGCTTTCGGAGCTTCACTCTTTCCTGCGCCTTTTGGATTGAGTGTTGGTTGCCATGACAACGATGAGGAAGTACGCGGACCAGATTGAGAAGAAATTTCCGGCGCAGCTGATGGCTTCGCCCATGGCACATTCTCATCTGATGCTGGTTGAACTTCTCGTTGATGTCTTTCGGCAGCATGAGTCCCACAACCATTGTCTTTGCAATCTTCTTCAAGTGTTCACTGGCTGTGGGAAGCAAATGAATAATGAATATCCTGTTTGCGCATAGGCAATCAGAATCACACTGTCCCATTTGTTTTGTGCTCTGGAATAAAGAACGTCCAAAGGATCTAAATGTTTGTGTCTTTCACGATCTCACAGGTCATAGCGGAAATATGCGTATTATAGGTGTTGACATCATAGATAGTCTTGATGCATTTCCACACCAATTCGGGCATCTTTCTGGGTTTGCTTGTCTTCTCATCCTCTGTTAGAATTCTTTTGTGATCGCCAAACCCTGCTTTGAAGGTGTCTCCGGCGTAGCCCGTTGCAAACATCTGGAGAGCCAATCTGACAAGAAGTTTCCCGCCATTGAATCTATGCCAAGCGTCCTCCATCGCGATGCTATATCGTTGGGCGAAAATATGCATCTGATCACCCGTAGGGCCGTAGGGTCCATGACCTCTTCATTGTCACTGACAAGTCTTTGGCGAAGCGTGGTAGACCTGGTGTGTAGTCTGAGAATACATCCAAGCGTTTCTACATACCTGCTTGAAGTCGGTAGGAGCGATACACTGGCACAATGATCTGACATACACACCTGATCAGGTATCTGTCCACCAACGTTGAGAGTTCGACGCCGATATCGTCGCATGCTGAGATCTCTGCTTGATCGAATGGGATGGATTCTGGCAATTGACACCATGTTGGCAAATCAGCATAGTCCTTCCTGTCATCAGGATCGTATGACCTGGACCCCAACCTGCGTACCAATACCAATCATCATCATCGTCATCATCATCATCACCTTCTTCTTCTTCTTGCTGACGACTCTGGTCCGGTCCTGGTGGGATCTGTATCTGTGGCTACATCGTCAGGTCGCTCAGCATGTCGATAGGCACTTTTCTTGATGGCCTCAAGGCTGTCCATCTGAATCCCTGTCATAGCCAACTTCTTCAGGAATGTGGGATTGTCTGTAGAGCTCCTCATCCATTGCTGCTGTCTTGGGATTCTTGACCGCAATTGGTCCACGATTCCATAAATCACCATCAAGATATGCAAGAACAACGACTTCTCAACCTATCTCGGTTGGAGCATTCAACTCTTCCTTGATCTCAGTCCGCATTTCTTGAGTTTTGATGTCTTTGTTCTGATCTTTGGGTTCTTTCTTTGAACCATCTCCACGTCGTCGTCCGCCTCCTCCTCCTCCTCCTCTTTATCACCATCATCATCATCATCATTGGGAGTCGGTGTTGTAGCCGAAAAAGTGTCACCGCGCCGCAACTCAAGAAAGTTCCCACGCAGTTCAGGCAAATGGAGAATGTTCCTGGCGTAAGCGTCACGCACGCTGGACATAAAACGTTTCCGTCGACTGGCGTGAAGGACCCGCAAACCACGTGCAAGATCTCTCTCTTTTTGCGATGGTACCTTGATGTTGGGATCAGCAATGTTGACGATACCTTCGAGCTTCCTGATGTTTGTGTCCTTCTCCCTTCCCCCAGCGATCGCTTCTTTTGGCTTTTCGAGGACGAGCTGCTTCGTGGTGAGCTTGTTCGGAAAACCAAGTGATCGTCATCACTTGGCAAATCGGTGGACATGGTGGATGCTGATGAAGGTGATTCAGATATCTTTTGGATCTTCTTCATTCCCCCTCTTCTTCTTTCAATCCTTCTCAGCAAACTTCTCTTTCTCGATCGCTTCTGCCTTCTCTGCGATGGCTCTGTCGGCAAATGATAAGATAAGGCCTTCCATTCTTCTGGTGTATATTTTGGGTCTCGGCCTCGGGGATGATGTAAAGAAGCTTCTTCCATCACTTCCGACCTTGTAAGGTTTGCCTTTTCTGCGTTGAAGAGATTTTTTCACCAAACAGTTTACTGTTAGGGGTTCTCAATTCTTTCTTGCTGGTGTCCGCCTTTTTCCGGGCTGGCCATGCAGCATTTCTATTCATGTGTCTCCCAGGTCTGTCAGCCATTGTGTCTGTCTTGTCTCCCTTCTGTTTCCTTTTGTCTCCCTTCTTGTCTCCCTTCTTGTTGATGTCTCAAAAAGTGGGCTTGGGGATGCTTCGTCGTTGTCGACCTGTTTGGGGCCTACGGTGGGGTAATGATGTGTCCGCCCTTTCTGTCACTGCTGGCCCTTTTCCGCTGGCCATGCAGCATTTCCTTGTCTCTCTTCTTGTTGGTCATTGTGTTTGTCCTATCTCCCGTTTTTCCTTTCGTCTGCCTTCTTGCACTTCTTGTTGGTCACTGTGTCCGTCTTCTCCCCTTCTTGTTCGTCATTGTGTCCGTCTTGTCTCCCTTCTTTTGCCCTTTGTCTCCCTTCTTGTTGGTCATTGTGTTCGTCTTGTCTCCCTTCTGTTGTTTCCTTTTGTCTCCCTTCTTGTTGGTCATTGTGTGAGCCTTGTCTCTCTTTCTGTTTCCTTTTGTCTCCCTTCTTGTCTTCCTTCTTGTTGGTCACTGTGTCCACCGTGTCTCCCTTCTTGTTGATGTCTCCAAAAGTGGACTTGGGAATGTGTTGTTGTCTAACCTGTTTGGGGTCTACGGTGGTGTATTTTGAGGAGGCGCGCGGTCGTCCCCTGGTTTTGGTGTCTTCTTCTTGGACTTCGGACCGGTAGGCGGTGCATCGCCACATGTCCTCCATCAGGTCGTGGATCGTCATCGCCTTCATCTTCACCTACAACATCAACTGGCGCTTCGTCCCCTTCCTCATCAGTAGCTCTCTCGACGATGTCTTCATGTCTCAGCATGTCAGGCTCTGAAGGTTCATAGTCACCAAGATCATCTTCTCAAGGCTCTCCACCATTGGTGACTTCAAAAATGTCCCTCTTGGCGGTCCCTGATCTTCATGCCTTCAAATGCATTGTTGATCCTTTCGTGTTTTTCTGTGAATGGAAACTCAATCGGGGCCATGAACACGATTGTCTCTGTGAGCTTCGGTCTATCCAACTTCCTGATTGGCCTCCTTGCATCAAACGCAAGGCTCTGCTGGGAGAAAATCTCAAGGCTCCATACTCGTAGCGGGCAAAGATGCCCAGAATCCCTAT